GTAAAAAGCAGTTCTCAGTCTTTTTCTTTTTGGATCAAATCTTAGAGATTCAAAGGCTTCTAGAACTTTGTCTTTATTCTTCATAATAGAAGACAATGAATTTTTCTTTATTCCATATTCAGCAGCAATCTCTGCTTTTTTCTTGCCACTTTCCACTGCATTTATGATGTCGATCTTTTCCTCAATGGATAGGCTTTTCTTTTTCTTCACTGTTACAGGCAGAGTTGAGGCATCCACAGGAGCTTCTGCCATCTCAGCCAGTACTTACGTAGAGATGACTCTTCTTACTTCCTGGTGACTGTTTCTTTGATTAAAATTTGTTTTCCAGTATGATATAGATTGCTGCTTTCTATCCTACTTCATATATTAAAAATTGTCAAGTGTCTAATAGTCTTATTTCATAGGAACTTGATGACGAAATACACTTTTTCAAAGACCTGAAGAAGAAAAATGTTATATGCAACTACAATATTTTAGAAGAGAAATTTCCTTCCTAGAACCTTGTATAGCTCAGTTTATAGTTTATTCATAGTTCCAGAAGTCAAGCTAAAATAGAAATCTCATTATGTCAAACCTGTCCAGTCCTGCTGATGTATTTTTGGAACTTCAATCTTTTAAGATGATCCATTTTATCCATGTACAAATTCAACCTCCTATTAATTCTCCACAGAAGGACTCAGAGATAAGAAGAAAAAATGTTCAACAGTTTTCATGCAAAAATGTTACCCATTAATTTTCAACTTTGCTCATGGTAAAGAAGAAAATGGTAGAATCCTTCTAGAACTTGCCAGTATATCTTCTTCTGTTTTTTGAAAATGTAAAAAAAAAAAAAAAAAAAAAAACACGCAATTTTAGCAATATGTCAATTGAATATTAAAAAGAATACTTATACAAATTATTATGCTCTTAATAATGAAAATAATAGAAACATGGTTCTGAAATTACAATAAACAAAGTTTCCAAAAGAAATGCTTACCTCCCAAAAGGTCTCTCTGTAAAAGCTCTCTAGTTCTGCTCTACAGATTTGAATTCTCACTTGCCTTTGAATGCTTTATAATATATAGTTCTGAAATAAATCAGATAAATTTAATCTATTCTGAAAATGTGGGCTTACCAAAATTAAAGAACTAAAAATGATGCTGGATAGTTGCTTGGTGGCTATTTTTTACATGAGGTCACAGACTGAACCCTCTAACTTCTCCAAAAGAAAACATAGTCAGACAGAAGTCACAAGGTTCGACTTTTAATAGTACATGGGAGACAGTGTCTCTTTTATAAGAGTCTGACAGAAAATGCTTCACTAAAAAATCAAATCAAGTGATAATTCTATTTAAAAAAAATCTAAATCCCATTCTACCTAAAAGCTTAAAAACCAATACTTTTTTATTTTTATAATTTAAAAGTTTTCTCTTCTCTTTTTTTTTACCCTTATCCTGTTAGTAGGCTAAGAATGCAGTAACTTTTGTATTAATTTGACACATTAGCTGAATGTATAGAGGCCAGAAATACTGGACAAAAGGCATAGAAACAAAAAATTAGGAGAGTATAATGCAGAAAGAGATGTAGACTAAGAATAGGCAGGATAGTGACCAGGAGTCTTAATGTGTCAGTCATCTACTTTCTATCTGTAAAGAAAGAAAAAAAAAGGTGCAGGCCACTTCTGAATTGAGAAGTCACTCTGCTATTTAGTACTCAGTGATCCCAGGCCATTTACATAACCACTTGAAGCTTCAGCTTCCTTATCTGTAAAATGGGAATAAGTACAGCACCTACCTCATTATTGTGCATTCAAAGAGATTCAATGAGACAGTGTAAAGCACTTAGTACAGTATTTAGTACTTTAAGAAAGTGCTCAACAAATACATGGTGATGATCTTATCATCATTACCTGTCTCATATCTTTTGGCTGTGTGAATCTACAATTTGGAAAACTTTATAAAATCCGACTTGCAAACAGAAGCAAGGATCTCACCTTACATCTATACTCAACATAGGGCTTTTCCTAAGCCATGAGAACAGTAACAGGCCCCAGATGGGCTCATCTCTACTTTCCCGTCAGCATCTCCCTTATCAGAATCTACGGGGCTTTGGGCCTACTATGGCCAAGATAATAACAAGCTAATTTGATGAGCAACGTTACTTCTGCGCAGATGTGGGCACTCCATTGATAAGTGGTGTTACTTTAGTGCGAGTGTGGGCACTCCACGGATGAGCGGTGTTACTTGTGTGCGAGTGTGGGCGCTCCACGGATGAGCGGTGTTACTT